CTCCCGCTTCTGCGTTGTGGGCATTTGCAATGGAGGAGCTATTCATAAGGACGAGGGATGGGAGATGAGAGTAGGGCGACGCAATCTATACATATCCACTGCTCCCTGGCCAGGCCCATCCTGAACACAGCAGCTGTGTATACGCCACGCCCTCCTGGTTTGGCCAGGAGGGCGTATACACAGCTCCTGGGTTCAGGATGGGCCTGGCCAGGGAGCAGTGGATATGTATAGATTTCGTCCCCCGAGAGAAGAGGTGAGTGGGACGACCAGGCGCTTCCTGTGGTCGCGCGGCGTCCGCGCGGCTCCCGCGCGCGCAGGAGCTCGTCGCGGCCGGAGGCGGCGACGGCCCCCCTAAGATTGGCAGAGGGGGCGCCCACAGGACGCGCGGCCACCGAACCCCGAAGATTGGCACGAGGGGGGGGAGGAGGAGGAGGAAGAGGAGGAGGAGGAGGAGGAGGAGGAGGAGGAGGAGGAGGAGAAAGAGGAGGAGGATGCATCGACCTGGAATCGCCGATGCATCGCCGACGGATCGGAGACAGGCCTTCGATAGCAAAGCCGCAGCTTCCTGGGCGGGGTGGGGCCATCGGAACCCTATCGGCGATGAATGGACGATTGGGGGTCGATGCATCTCCCCCTATGCCCATCCCCTCCTATCGTTGCCCCCGATGGGATGGGGTTCCCGGGTGGAAGCGGGTCCCAGCCCTGGGGCTTCCCACAGGACGAGCCGTACTCTGGACTCTGGACTCTCCCTCTGCGACGGCCACAGGGCCCGAGGGAGGGACCCTCCTGGCCCGAAGGCGGCGAGAAAACGTCAGGACCTGCAGGGCCGCGAAGTTCGGCGACGAAGGGCCATAAACATTCGCCGGCGCAACGGGCCAAACGCGTGCTAAAATCTCGGGTAACAATTTTAGAGTATGTTTCTGACGAAAAATACCTTATGCAAGTCCCGGGCGGTCCGTCACGGATGCCAGAACTCCTGGGGGCTGCCTTCAGGGCCTTCAAGAGCGTCCCAAGAGGCCCTCAAGGCGGTCTAAGAGGGCCCAGAGTCACCGAAGTTGTTCGAAGATGCCCAGGGTAGCCTCCAGACGGCTTCAAACGCCTCCGATACGCCCGAAGATGCCTCGAAGACCACTCCCAAGAAGCCCCCTAGAGGCAAAAGTTTAGGACTTTCAATTGAGGTTTGAAGGTTTTCAGCGTTCTCACCCCTTCGGCCGCCGAAGCTCAAAGACGGTCCGAGAAGCCCCTAAGATTGCTCCAGGACGGCCCATTGAGCCTCCAAGAAAGCCCCCAAACGGCGCACGTGGACTCCAACACGGCCCAACTGGCTCCCAAGACGGCGCCGGAGAGCCCCAGTAGACCTTCAGGAAGACCCCTCGAGGGGAAGGCCCACCGGACATTTCGAGCGCTCGGCCCCCAAAAGGCGTCCAGGCTGCCCCAAGCAGCCCCTAAGAGTCCGCAGGAGGGTCCCAAGAGGCCCCTGAGAGGCGCCAAGAGAGCCCCAAGAAGCATCCAAGGCGCCCCCAGGAGGCCCCCAAGAGCGCCTAAAACTGCTACTCGGGAGCCCCCGAAAAACCGCCGAAGAAGCACCAAGACACTCTCACCCACAACAGCAGCAGCGCCGACCAGCAGCGCCGCATGGCCCACGAACGCGCACGCAAACCCACCGATGGCAGAATACGGGCCGGCGGAATGAGACTAGCGACTCAATACTATGAGGAAAAATAACACGGTAACACTATTGACATAACCAGTAATGCCACAACAATATGATGATCTAGTAAGGTGGATGACGATAACACTAATCATAACAATAATGATGTGCACAAACATGAAACTTAAATTTGCACGAATATTAATCGTAATGCTACTAACAATGGAAACAATATCAATGATAATAATGCTAAAGCGAAGACACAAAGGAGGAAGACGCGGAACCCGTGTGCCTCGGGCCCGCGCCAACATGGATTACGGATCCGTGGATCTGGCGCGCGCGCGCCAGATTCACGGATCGGGGAAACTACCGCTCGAAGCACGAGGCCCGAACCGCCCGATTGGGCGACGCAGCGTGCCGCTTCTGCACGCACACGGGACCCGTCGCTAGCCCAGGCGCCCGAATCCACGTCGGCGTTTTCGCGAGTGCCCCGCGCTCGGAAGCTCATCAGCGTGCCCGCGGCCCCCATCCGCGGGCGCGCCGTGCAGACGCGGCGCTGCCGACCCCTTGCGATGACAGCGCGGCCCCATCGGTCTCTGCGACCACGCGGGGTCGCTCGACATGTGAGCGATGGCTGGCTCTCCGCGCCATCGGGAGAAAGAGTAGATGAAAGAGGAGGGATGGGAGGAGAGGTCGGAGGGAGAAATGAGAAGGATCAGGAGGGCGGAGGACGCTGGAGGAGGTAAGAGGTGAGAGAAGGACTCAGGGAGGAGGGCACAGGAAGCAGGCAGGAGGAAGGAAGGAGGAAAGAAGAAGGAAGTCAGTGTGAGGAACCAGGAGCACGGGTAAATGAGGAGACGGGAGGGTGGATGATGGAGGTGGGCAGCAGGGGAAGGGGCACCCTTGAGAAGCACGGCCCAGGGAGCCCAAAACTCGATCCAAACTCCGCCCTCTCCTCGCCTCCTGCACGTTCTGCGACTCCGAGGGGCGTGGTTTGCATAGGGTGTGGCTTGCCACCGGCACCCTGGGGGCGCGCGAGGACCTCGACAGAGTTCTCCGCTGCGCCCCGAGGAGGCCCGACGAGGGCAACGTGGCGGTGCCCCTCAAGTCCCATTGACGCAGATCGCAAACCATACCCTGGCGCAACCACAGCTTTTGGAATCGCGTGGCCCTGGACCTCACCGGGCACACCCAGCCTGAACCGTACTCCGGGGAAGCATGGCCCGTGAGTTCCACAACGCGTTTCAACGTCCGCCCTCCTCGCCTCCTCAGTCGGCGGTGGACAAACCTCCATTTAGTAAACCTCCCCATAGCGAAAACGGCCTGGGACCAGAACCGACGGACCTGGACCCGCAAAAATAACGGCCAAGACGCCCTCTCGCGAACCGAAAGCGGCCAATTCACTAATCGACGTGTCAGGGTAGGAGGTCTATCCACCCCCGACTCAACACGGCTGCCCAAAGGCTACCCTTTATCGCAAATTGATCGTGTAGAGAGGTTCGATCGGGTCGAGCCCCATCCGAGCAGGATCTAGGGACGCGCGATCGATCCGATCGAGGCCCCAGACGCTTGCGCGCATCTTCGACAGGTCTGCCCCCCCGGGTCTCCAAAAGCGAGAGGCGGCCCTCCCCCTCCATGAACCCAAAGAAAATCACTAACCATTTCCAACGTCCATTAGCCTCAGGAGGTCTTAGTTTTGGGGATCCCCCCCTGTTTCTCTCGGCGGGGAAGCTTTCCCGACAAGAGCGAGAAGCGCCGCTTCTCAGAACTTGCGTGCGCACGCGCGCACGGACTTGAACCCAACACACATGCGTGCACATGAATGCAGTCGCTGGGCTCTCTTAAATGCCCAAATGGTCACCGTTGGTAGCTCGTGTTTAGTGGTTGCCTGCGGCTGCTTTGGTCAGTGTTTTATTGCGCGTGGCATATGCTTGTGTGTGTGCGTGTGTACAGGTGCATGTGTGTGCCTGTGTGTGCCTGTGTGTGCGGCTGTGTGCGCGTGTGTGCGCGGGCGTGTACAAGGTGTGTGCCAGGGGGGCGGAAAAACGGGGTGCACGGTGTGCGTACGGGGCTCGTGCTTGGCGGGCGGGGGGTTGTACGGTGTGCGTACGGTGCGTGCTTGGCGGGCGGGCGGGAGTGGCGCAGGGTGTGTACACTGTGTGTTTAGTGTACGTGGTGTATCGTTTACGTGGTGTGTGTGTGTGTGCTGTATGTGGGCATTCATGCGCTGGTAGCGTGTTGTGCTCCTCCTCCTCCTCCTCCAACTTCTCCTTATCCTCCTCCTTCTGTTCCTCCCTCTCCTCCTCCTCATCCTCTCTCTCCTCCTCGTCCTGCTCCTCCTCCTCCTCCTCCTCCTATTCCTCATGTCCTCGTCCTCGTGTTTGTTCGAGGATGTCTCAAGCGAGATCCCCATTTTGAACAGAAGACGTCTGGAAGCAGGTCGTCTACCATCCCATTTGTTCGAGGATGTCTCGAGCGAGAGCCTCAATTGTAAGATTTCGACGATTTCGCAAGATCCCTGGAGATCTGTGTTCTCAGGATGTCTCGAGCGGGAGCCTGCGCGTGGATGTTCAACCGACGCGCACGCGTGCACATGGATGCAGTCGCTGGGCTCCCCTAACTGCCCAGATGGTCGCCGTTGGTAGCTCGTGTTTAGTTGTTGCATGCGGGTGTTTTGGTCAGGTATGTTTTGCGCGTGGCCTATGCTTGTGTGCGCGTATGTACAGGTGCATGTGTGTGCGTGTGCGTGTGCGTGTGCGTGTGTGTGTGTGTGTGTGTGCGTGTGTGTATGTGTATGCCTGTGTGTTCTGTGTGTGCGGCTGTGTGCGTGTGTGTGCGCGGGCGTGTACAAGGTGTGTGCCAGGGGGGCGGGGGGAGGGGGTGCACGGTGTGCGTACGGGGTGTGTGCCTGGCGGGCGGGCGAGAAAACGCGCAGGGTCTTCGTACGCGTTGTGTTTAGTGTTAGTGGTGACTGGCGTGCGTGGCGTATGCTCAATATGGGCATTCATGCGCTGGGAACGTCTTGTGCCCCTCGTCCTCCTCCTCCTCCTCTTCCTCCTCCTCGTCCTCCTCCTCCTCCTTATTGTTTCTCCTCCTCCTCTTCCTCCTCCTCCTCCGTTTCCTCCTTTTCCTCCACCATATGTTCCTCGTCATCCTCCGCATCCTCCTCATCCTCCTCCTCCTCCTCTTCTTCCTCCTCCTCCAAAACCTCCTCTTCCTCATCCTCTTCGCCCTCGTGGTTCGAAGATGTCTCGAGCGAGAATATCATGTTTAACGAACGGCGTCTCAAACATACGATCTCGACATCGCATGTATTCCGAGGGTGCCTCGAACGAAACGACCCTGTTCC